TCGTTAATAAAGCAATGCAATAAAAACCGCGAGAGGATCGAAGTTTAGCTTGTGAACGAAATTGCTCTTCAAGACAGCAAGTAGTAACGACTGAGTTTGAACGGCCGAGTCCCGTATCGCTCGTGATAAGATTAAGTGGTGCGAAACGAGAAAGTAAAGATGGAGAAGAATGACAAAAGCTTTCTGTATGCTCTTTTTTGAGAATCGCTCGCAATCTTTAAAGACTGATCACGATATTCGAGTCGCGTTCCAACTTGAATCTCACCGCGAGTTTACGAGCGTAAGTCTTTTTACAATCTCCAACTTCATTTGCCAAGTTGGACACGCGCGCCTAAAAGAAGTTCTTTATCCATCGTTTCTTTATCAAGAAATAACTTGAAGAAATTGAACGATTCAAGAATCATCTTGAGCAAATGTAGGTATATAAAAGTAGACCAAACCGACATGATAACCAACGCTTCGTTTTGAGGCATCATGCTAAATCATTTTCATCGTTTTCATGAAACAGTGTTATTGGATAATTTATTGATCCATGATATTGGCTTAGACGACATCAATCACCTATTGTTATAAAGACCAGTTCGTCATAAATGACGAACGTAACATAATAACGGTGCATGAAAGGAATATAATTACTGCTATGCTACAATGGAAGTATGATCCTTTTGAAGTTCGAATAATGAGACAAGGTGCGCGTAACCGGTAGCATGTTGCGTGTATTCTCGTGTGTGAGTAATACGTGAATTAAATACGCATGTCTGATTCACAATGCAATCTTCGTGAATTTATACACACTATAATACGCAAGATACCGCGCCACTGATCCGTTTTTCTATGATGCGTCATTGAAATTCAAAGAATAAAGCGCATCAATTTACGCTTTATTCCTCTGCTCGTTTTCTGCGATAGACTCAAAAATAGATAAAGATAATAAAAGTAAATCAAATAATATAAAAAATTCTATTTTTGATCGAAGTGGATTTTGATAGTTAATAATATCCATATATAAGTGCAAATGCATTTTTCAGTTCTATAAAATACGCGTCGATTCAATTTGTTGGATTTGAAACGCAATCATAAATTGAAGCTAAAAATAACATCACAAATTATATTGATCGTTAATAATGCTAATAAATCTTAAAACACCGTAAAGAATTTATTGTAAAAAATATCATCTCAGTCAAGGTTTAAACCTGAAATTCCCAACGTTTTAGGACGTCTGACCAATTTGTTCACCATATGGAGATATTTTTTACAATAATTAGTGAAAGAATTCATTTTTCAAAGAGACGTGTACAAACAGTTATATAAATGGAAATTAGACTAATTATTAAACATCAAAATTCGCTTTGACTAAAAATAAAATTCTTTCTGTTATTTGATTTATTCTCATCAGTTTAATTTCTATTCACATAAAAACAAGAAGTGTTCTGATGAATACATAATAAAATTTTCTTTTTTTCAAACATTATGACATAACTTGTTTAATGACCGAGTTAAAAAATTTAACGTGGAAAGAAATGCTTTATGCAGAAAAAACTGGAAGAAGCTTCATTACTTTCATCAAGCGTTATTGGTAACTTGGTATAAACCAGCGTACAGAGTTGCATGACAAATGACTTTCAACCCCATTTATGTCGACTTAATACGACGTGAGAGACTATCCATCTCCGATTTCTGCTTACAGTAGTTAGTCTTCTCAGTATCGCGCAATATTCGTCGGAAGCATCAACTGGGTTTCAACCTTTTCATGTCACGAAAGTTGGAAGTTTCAACACCGGGAAACAGCAAGTGCTCGGTATTCGGGTGTTAATTAATCGACAACATTTTAAGATAGGTACTTGAGATACCGATTCGAGAATCGTTCCTCTCTCACATCTTCCATAAACCACTCCCTTCCATCCATCCGTTCTCTTTTGTATGCAATCTCTCCTTCTCTTCCACCTCCACATCTTTCATCGCTTGATAGCAGCGCAAGTTATTACAACAATTCTCCATCTCTCTTGGGTACTCTTGTTACCCGCCGTTAATTAGAGTACAGTCTGCTACCGACGACAACTAACTGCAAAGGAGAGTCTTCAGCGACGGCGATCCTATATTCCACCACTTCGTTTTCCCCTTCGCTTAAACTCACTCCGAGTTCTCTCCCGCCTGATCCACCATCACTGGAGCACGATGTTTGCGGCTTGAATTATTCCGGCGGATCTACACGCAACCCTGGATCACGCTTTAAAGGATCCGCTTGTCTAGCCCAGTCGTTACCGCGACGACATCGCTTACGACGAAGTCAGGATCTAACTGGAGGGACCTTACTAAATGGACGGAGGACGCGTAACGATCTAGAAGATTGATGCGCCACAATGGCGCGTTATACTAGGTTCTCAGTTCTGTTACTACGGTATGCTATGCGTTGCTACTTCGGACTTTGAATAAAGCGACATTCCACTTGGCGAATGTGTATCACATTTGCATCGTCATGCTTATGTGTTGAATATATTTCTGTAACTTGCTCCTCCTCTAACTTGTGTTTATTAACAGAAACTTGACATGATATAACATGGATTACTTCTGGATGAAAATATAGCAACTAAGTGCTTAATGTCATTACAGAAATTAAACTCTACATTCGAAAATTAAAATATTAGAATGTTAGAGTACTCTCTAGCAGAGTATAAGTTTAATTTTGGATTGTAATTTTTAATTTTTAGAAATATCATTCGGTCGTTATGTTTCCTATTACAAATGTTAGCGAGTAAATCTCGGAAAGGCAAGGAAGGCGCAACTTTGCGACTTGTTCATTAAGACAAACAAGGTAAGATACGTTGGAGTTGTAGAACGGTAGTGCTTAATTTCTCACGATGAAGTTCTAGTGATTAAGACTGCGATCAGACTTCGCGGAAGTTGCAAACTCAAGGACGCTCACCTTCTCATATCAGCTTATACGCGGCCTGTAACGGTAACCTTAGACATAACTGGAGAAAATTGAGTTACTTCGGGCACGTTTCAGATTGATTTCAAGGTAGCAAGGCCCTATATCTTTCTACGGAGCGAAGCGTGATTGGTTTTCAATCCGTTCTACGTGGATCGAATGATCATTCGGTAAAACTCTACTTGAGCTAAACCCTCTTGCAATATCGTTTTCTGTGTGTGCGATAATTTGATCCCACTGTAGATACATTGTTACAGATTCCAGATCTCCACATTTTTCTCTCGGGAGTACGTCGAATAAAATACTGTCTATCGACAACCCAACACAGTCGGTCGATCATTTTTATAACATATTTTATAATTTTTTTTAATATTACAATATTTGTAACAATACAAAAAAAATTTCTCAGATTTAATCATTTTATGAGTAGATTTAAATAAATGCCATATTTTATGTCCAATTATTTGCGAAAGTATGACACGTAATACTATATTTCGACGATATTCCCGCATTGTGTATCGCGTTATATGAGTTTATGGACCGCACAATCTACTTATCATCGCAGCATCTGCGTATATGATACAATTTCATTAATATACACAAAAGTTATGAGGTCGTAAAGTGAAATAGTTATAGATGGGTAGTAGCTATCGATTTAAACTTTCAACGGTGATAATTAACAGTAAAATATATTAAAACCATCCAGTCTAAATTATATAACGGACTATTCCTGTAATTCGATTATTGCAACGTCCATCAGGCGGAGTGACGGCATTAACGGATAAATGTCCCAGGTTATAAAAATTTAATGTCCGTTGAGATCTGAATACTCGTGAGATTGCTTTTCTCTTAAGCGAGTATTTTATGCATTTATCATCATTCCCGGTTTGACGCTCCCTGTTATGCGAGCAATAGATTAAATTCTGAACTAATTTTTTCAAAGAAATATCATTATAATCATTTACGATTGATTGCATTCATGGAACATATCTTTACAGCAATGTCTAATTTATTCCATTATATTTTATCATTATAAAATTTGGATTAAAATTTTCTTTTAAAGCATTTTAAAACAATAAAGCAGTATTAAGTATTTTGAAAAATATTTAATGTTTTATTTTATTATTCTGTCAATCTCATTTGTAAAAAAACTTTAAGCCAATACAATAATTAATTAAAATAGATGTTATCATCTGTTATTTTATAATATATTATTTTAAGGAGTATTGTAATTTTTAACATTTCATTAATACCATAGTAACGGGTTTGAGGACTTCTACCCAACTTTAGATAGGTTCATTTCACTTTGATGTCTCTTTTCTCAATTGCCGTGCAGAAAGCTGATGCGCCATTAATTGTACTCGTTTGCGAACTTTCAGCCAGTCGTGGCTCGTTAATTGACACTATCAATCCTTCGTACAGGTTATCGTGAAGCACACTTTCGCGTTCGCCACTCGTCGTTTGCGCTATAACCCTGATTGCCAAAGTTCGAATCGTTAAAAAAGATTCGGAGAAATGCGAAAAAATAACGTTGCGCGATATTTCATCGTTTACTGCACGCTTCTTTTCTTCCTTTTCCGCTTTCCCGTCGGACGAATGAAAATATGTCGCGTAAAAAAGAGGAAACGCATGTGCGCTCGTTTTGACATGTTTTTTTCGTAACGAAGCGACGCGCGGTCCGAAGCATAATTTATCATAATGTATTATTATATGAAAATGAAGATTAGTGTACGTGACAACTGCAAATATCGCATGTTCATACATTCCGCGGGCAAATCATGAGGAATGATAAATGACGTTAATAAGTCACATGCACAAGAAATTAGTGACACATTATTATATTTTAACTCTAACAAATTTAACATTTACTTTATATTTTATTACAGCGTTCACTTTTTTCACTCGAATCATTTTTCATCATAAGCGCTTCACCAAAAATATTAAAGTATTTAAAATTATAAAAATTATAACAAGAGAATATTAATCCAATTTTATCGTAAAAGACAATCCAACTTTCTTTCTGTTTCGCTATCATCGCTTTGCAATGGTAAAGAATAACAATTGTACTCACTGTATCCTCCCACGTAGATTGGCGTCCATGTTACTTGAGTATAGGCCAAGGGAGTTGCTGCGAATAACACGGCGCTGAACCATACCGCCCGACGTACCGCACTCATTTCACTAACGGCCTCGATAGTCGTCATTTTTTTTCTCACGTTTCAATCAGTTCTTCGTCTCGACATCATCTTCTCCGACATGCCTCCGCTATTCCTCTCCGCTTTTATTCGCTACGCTCGTTCCTCTTTTTCCTCTCTTTTTTTTCCGTCCGAATACGGGCGCCCAACAATACGTCACTGCCGTTGAATATCTACGCAATCGAACGAAACTCTCGATACCATCGTCGTTTTATCCCGCCGCATCTAATAGCTGGTATTTTCATATCATTGCGATCTGAACATTGCCGCCCGACGGATAATAGCTCGAAGGAAATTACAAGAATACGCTGCTGCGTGATTTACACGCATAATATTTATATGCAATTCAATTAAAGTTCTCAAAAGAATGATTTAAAGAATTTCATTAAATCAAGTCTGCGTAATGGGAGCGAAGGATATTGACATGCGAATGGATTGCCGAGGGAAGATTCAATAGCGATATTAATTTTGAGAATCGAAGATAAAGAAGATATCAAGATTTGTGCCATTGATTGAAAATAAAAAAGAGTGAAGCTCGTTTTTATTGGGCTCGCGAGTAATTAATCTTGCGGATTCTGGGTCATGGTCGGGTGCGACGATAGGACTGACTCGCGAGGCAGCGAAATTAATTAATTAAGCACAATCACGCGTCTCCGCTCTAATTGATACTCGACACGAATTGCTTAACACACTCCGTTATATTATCATTGATGACAGATATGGAAATTTAGAATAAAAGGGATAGCAGCCCGTCGTTGTTTATCAGACACACTTTTTCCGCGTCATTGAGCGAAATAGCTTTACGTCACGTAAAATTTTGCACTCTCCCTGCCGTTATTCCTCTTCTCGGACAGAATCTTCATTTCTGCACGAGTCCTGATTTATGCACCCTATACTTCACGTTCCTTCTTCTCAGAACGTATTACTCCGTTCCTTCGGGTATAACATGAAGACACAATCATCGCTTTTACCGACGGCGATCGCGAGAGTAACGGCCTTTCTACTCCCGCTGCTCTCGCTCTTCTCTACTTTTTTACGCTCGTAACATGTGCGAGACCGTTACCACTATTTTCCGCCTTTTTTCTTCCTTTCGGATCCACCGGACGCCGGTTCTTTCTCACTCCCAAGCGGAATTAGACTCATGTAGACCTTTACTCGTCTTCTTAAATTCTTCAATGACTTTGCCCAGATCAAAAAGCTTTTTTCCACCGATACGAAATCCTGTCTGCAACAAAATAGCAAAATATTTCATTAGAAGAGTTCCTTTGACGGATGATCATTAAGAGACGAAGCACAGACCAAGTCTCAAAGAACTCCTGTGGAAAATTCCAAGACTAAGGGAAACTATTGGAACCTATTTTCCGCAGATTTACACGACCGACGGAAGCGGCTTTTCTAAATTAAAGTATTTGTCACATTTTTCACGTGGAATTTTTATTTGTACAATAAAAATAAAAATTCAAAAATTCTACTCAAGGATTGCATACATAGAACTTGAATATTCAGTAATATTATTAAAATATAAATAGAAAATCGTTTTAAATTAATTGGTAAATCATATTATATTGATATATTACATATTATAATATTATAATAATAGTATATGTAAATATACTTGTATGTAAAATGTGCATATAGTACCGGTTGTTCGAAGAATTGTATTTTTTTTTAATAATGCGTCATTTTGATTCGATTGTCGATTACTTATAAATGTAATGTAACAAAATTAATATAAAATTTTTAGAAGTAGATATCGCAAAGATAGATAAATTGAGAATAAGATAGAAAATGTGTTCAATGAGAGAGACTATTTAAAAACTTAAAAAATGTTAAATAAAAAAACCACTTCTCTATTCATTAAATTTTATCGCTTATTTTATCTAATTTTTCTGAATATAAAACGTGAGAGCATGACGGACATAATAATTATCTTATACGGTTACTTTAATTTCCGTCACGTCTCAATCGAAATGAAATTCATATCGCGACGAGCGAGAAGAGACCGCATAGTTTCTGGGACTCGGCTGCGATGGCATTTGCATTTTCATCTGCTTGGAAATGTCGTCGATGTCTCGTTAGCGTATCTCCATCGAGGCGACGAGTGGTGCATAAGACGGAGGTCATGGTTTCCCCGTAATGTTTCACGAGGTCGCTATAGCGAGGACTTTGGAGGCCGAAGAGGGTGACGACCCCATTATATAGTGACGCCAGCGGAAAGCGGAGAGGGAGTTGACAATTCAGTTGTACATAATGTGACAAGCCAAAGTTATCCCATCGTTTTGCCGCCAAGTGTTATTCACTCATCGTTATCTATCGCCGGTTTTATCACGAACTTGTCCAGCAGTTATGAAAGCCACTCTGCGTTCTGCAAGGACGACCTTTATACATTACCTCATATAGCGCATCGGTGGACACGATCGGGTGCTTAGCTGCAGGAACTACCTGTTCTTCTCTCCCCTCCCTCACTTCTAGTCCTTACTATGCACTTATCGCTCGTCCGCCTTATTAGCTCGTGCTATCTTCTTAACTGCTCTTAACACTACTTTAACCGAGATTCCTGAACACTTTCCTGCACCGTAGCATTTTCCGGTCTACGATTACGTTCAAAGTAGAGAGCAACTTGCAACTTTCGCCGTCGCATCATTTCAGGATAAAGAAAGTAACTCTGTTAAGGACGTTTTTCTCAAGTGTATAAACTCAACTCGTGTAAATAACAGCATTTCATAGTCTTTCTTTTTCTTCATCCAACATTCATTTGTTTGAACAAAATTCTTTCCTCTCCTTTGTCTCTTATGTTTCTTTTTATATCATGTAGAAAAAAAGAAGAGAAACGTTGGACGACAAATAACTACCTCTTTTCTTCCATCGAAATAGAAATGATTGCGTTAGAAAGTCTGACCAGATGCTGACTTTATCTACTAGGATATTTTTGTAGTACAATTGCAATATTTATTAATCGTCTTTCTTGTCATGTTTTCAATTATTTTTTGTCGTTACCACAGATACAAATGATATTTTTATTCGTTAGATTAAAATGTATTTTTACAGCAATGTATCTGACTCAAATTGTTCCGTCTGCAATAGTGGTTTTTAGTTATTCCATACCGCTGATCTCGTATTCAACAGCCACCTCGTTTGATCGCCTCTTGCATACGATCCTCCAATTATAATTCGCCACTTCCGTCAAACACCTTCATCGTAATCGTGTCAAGTGTTTCCCCTTCCAGAAGTGTTCGCCTTTCCTTTTATTCTCTTTTCTTTTTTAATCTCCATTGAGAAGCAACCGCTGCTATAAACGGGTCTAGCCGAAAGGTGCCAATGTAGTTAATTTAATCCAGGTGCTGATTGGACACGCAGCCAGGGAAACAGTGATCGAAATAGAAGAAGAAACATGTAACTGAAGTCAGCATGAAAGAGCGAAAAAGAAAGCGTAAGTGGCTTGTGATTGTGTCATGCAATTATGGCTAGTTCCGTTTGATACAACCGACCTAACGTAAAAGAGGGTTTCGGTGAAGGAGAATCAGCGGTTACCAGAATGTCAACGACACAAAGGCAGGGTCAGCTCTGTCTCTTTTTTCCTCTTTCTCTCCCTTTCTATATCTCTTCCCGGCCTAGCAATCTGCAATTTGCTTCCCGCTCGGAAATGTTTTCTATCCGAATTGTCTCCGTTTTCAGTTATTACGTTTCGCTATGTGTGTGTGTGTGTGTGTATATGTATGTATATATATATATATATATATACAGGTAAGTAGAAATAATGCTCTGATCGTTATTATAATCGAGCATCTTTCGCACGTCGCCAACACAAGCAGTAAAATTTAATGTTCATGCCAAGACCAAATGGCCAAGTTCTCTATAGGAAGATCAAATGTCCGAAGAGGCAAATAGCTACGAGTAAATAACATTTCTCGTTGCAAAGATAATTACTCGGGCCGCAGTTCGCACGAGTTCACGCCGTGTGTCTGGAGTTTGCTTCGCTTCCTCCCTCCTTCTCTTTCTCTATCTCTCTCCTTTCCTCACCCTTTGTCTAACCCTGTTTCTTGATGCCCCGGCAACTTCTCGTTTAGCACCGCCGCAAATTAGCCTGCAACCGCGTTTTCCGCGTCCATCTACAAGCGCTGCAGTGAGCGCGTACGCCGTTTTCGTTTCAAGGTGAAGCACATGTTCTTTGGCCGAGACTTAATTAAAGGAACGCTATCTCTTGTGGAGATATTAGCTCGCGCTGCCTGGTTTAATTTAATGCTCATTAAATGTTCATTTAATAAGGTGAAAAGAATTATGTAGGATTCAATCATCCTTGACTTGAAAGGGTTACCAAAGCATAAATAATATATAATAGCTGTATGAAGTATAGCTCATCTCGCACAGGTATGCCTTTGATAGCACTAAATATTTCCAGCTATGCAAAATTTGGAATTAAACCAGAGAGACGCGAATAATAAATTTATAATCGAATATATGATATATTTGAAAAATTAGAAGAAAAATTTAGATGTTATACTAATATATTCGTCATTTGCTATAATATCTTGAGATAATAAAGACGTTGATTAGTTGACAATAATTAGTCCGCTGATTTCTGCTGTAAATGTGCACGATTGTTGAATGTACGACGAACCAACATAATTATTAATCGAATTAGGCTTCAATTAAACGGAATATCGATTAATTACGCATCAGAATGTATCTTAACACGTCCATAATCAAGGCCTTTAATTGTCTGTGGCTTTAGATGACTGTGCGCTTCGTAGTATAATTAATCATCTGACCATCCTGCCGATCAAACCACTCGAAGTGATCTTTCTTGTGAATCACTAGCTGTAAATTCGAAATTAACGAGCAAAGTCATTCACGCGTCATACTAAGATTAACACATATATAATGATACTGAGCAACAAAATCGTCATTGTTATATAAAATTTTATTGCAAGATATGGAAGATAAAAATTAAATAGACACTAAATAAATTTTAATTTAAATTATTATATGTAATATTACTATGTATGTTTATATAAATTCTCTATGCAGATTATAGCATAATAATCTTTCAAGTATTACACAATAGAAATTGTACGATAATTCGTTTGTAAATATCCATTTTATCGAGAAAACATATTCCACTAGTAGGTATTTGTTGAAATATGTAAAGTAGAAGCAGCCATGCTTGCGGCTTCGGTTGTCGTTTGTTGTTATAGTAGGAAGATATATTCTTGGATAAGACTGCATGATAAAGATATATGCATCGAACATTAATATTCGGGTCAGACCGAGCGTGAATTCTGTAGCGAACGTCGCACTATACTGTAGTTTCACAAGCGCTTCTCAGGATGTACTCAAGTTGTAGTTTCGCTGTTTCGCAGAAATACACATTAAACGTCGTTGATGCCTTCTATTTACGGATGTAATCACATAGTATTCAAACGTCAGTATTTATTGGGACTTGTTATCGTCAGATAAATATGTTTCCATGTAAAATTCTATAAATCTCTTTCGATAAACTTTAAAAAGACTATATTTAAAATCAACCCAACTGTATTTTTAATTTTATCATTATAAAAAATTTATTTAATCATTAAAAGTATTGATTAATAAATTTATCGTTTCTCTCCCTCTTTCTCTCTTGAATTCGTTTGCCTGATAACTTTTTCTTCTCCGTTCTAGAAAACACATCGACTGCACAATTACCACATCTCCATAATCAGTCAGGTTTCTAGCAGTGGTCCCATGTTTGCCAGCCGGAACGCAGTGCATTTAGTTTCTAATGGAGCTTAGCGACTAAAGATAATGACACGTTCGTTCCGCAGCAGCGAGCAATCTCCGTCCGAAATGTCGTGGCACTGCCTCGTGCTAGTCCAAGCACCAGACAATATTTGTTTTTCACTTCAACAACTACGGCAAACGTAACGCTGCGTTGTTTGCAGGAGTAGAACTTCGAACTAGCTACCAAAAGGATAGGGAACGTCTCGTACATGTTTACCGAAGCGATGTTTATTCGCGAACAAGGTGTGTTATAATCGAATTTGTAAATTACTTGAAATTTGAAAAAAGTTCCACTATTACATTTTTAAATAATATAAAATTATGCTTGATCAAATAAGAGCAAAGTATTATACTTGTATAAGATATTTTTATGGAAGATATTTTTAAATGTAGCATGAAAATACATTCATGTTTTTTTGAAATAATTCAATTACAAAGAAAAATATATATCCTCTGTTGAACATC